ATGGGACTATACTGATGATAAGTGGAGAGAAAACGGTTAATGTGGCGGTTATAGTGGGATGGTGGAGGTACAAGAAGGGAACAGAAACCAGGAAGTTCAGGAAAAGGTTTAGAATTCCTGAGGGAGTGGATTTGGATGAAATAAAAGCCCATTTTACAGAAGGTGATGAATCTGTGTTAACTGTCTCAATGCCAAAGACAGTGAAAGGAATATCTGGGACAGTGGTTGAGGAAATGGAAGAGCCAGACGTCGTCAGACAAGGCTCTGAAGCTCCGGAAAGGACCTCCAAGGAGTCTGAGATCATCAAGTCGGGTGAAGAAACAATTGAAGGTCATCAAGATGTTTCGAAGGTGCCACCTAATGATCCGTATGGTGATCAAAAAGAGGATCAAAAAGCTCTCCCAGAAGCCAAAATGACTGAAGAACATCATCGAGAAATTGCAAAGAAGCCCGATGATCAAGAAACCAAACAAAGTGCTATCGTCCATGAGTCCTCCCCTCAGGGGAAAAGCAAATCAAGTCCAAAAGAAACGGAACCTAACCGCGACGAAACAGGCGATAAAAAAGCTGAGTCTTCGTCAGGTACTAAGAATTGAGGTTCTATCTTAAAAAGTCAATTTAGTAACCAGAGATTTTATATGTTGATTTGTACAAGTATATTTAATCAATATGGAATGATCACCCAGGAGCTAAAGCACAACACAAAGAACATGAAAAAGAAGATGTGCTATCTAAAAGAAATGAAGCACATGAAGAAGAATATCTATTACCATCACGTGAAGCCGAGGTTGAAGAAGGTCATGATCATCACACAAGGGGAGAAGAGGGCGAAAAGAAAGAAGATGATAGTCGTGAGAAAAGCAGCATGCTATGCACTCCTATTATTTATGTTGGCTCGGCATTGTTCCTTTCTCTCGTAACCATTTTGGTCCGATACTTCAGATCTACAAAACAACCCCCGAGAACGAAGAACTAATACATCAGATGCTTTTAAAAGTATAATTAATGTTTGTCTAATTTATTTGATAAGTATTCCATGTATATCTTACTTCTGAGGAGAGACATATTAATTTTTACCACAAAAATGTTTTCATTTGGACCAAGAAACTGAACTTAAAAAGTGAAGGATGTACATAGTACTCATAATATTATCCATGCATATCGTCTGTATACATATACTTCTCTCCAATGAAAATGAATCAATATTATTTTGCCAAGGTTTGACACTTGATTTAACATTATTTCATTTGGATGGTGCAATAACACAGGTCCTAGATGGCGCAATAGCATAAGTGGCACACATATGGGTAGTATTTAGATGTGCTGAACAATAAATACATACGGAGTATATGATAGACATAGTATGCTATAACGAATGATATGTGTAGTAAATAAAATATAATCATGTGGATTCATGTGTAACAAAAAACACCAACACCATCAAACTTAAATAAAAGTTCATTATGAGAGAAAATTTAATAAATAAATGGCATATGCAATGGTATGGAAAGTATATAGAGGACAATGAAGCATACACATAAGGAACGTGTATGATTATGCTATAAGTAACGACATAGGCAGTAAATAAAATATGGCCATGTGGATTCATTTATAACCAAAAATGAACAACACAAAGAAAATTCATTAAAAGCTAACCACGTGTGACAAACATACAAGTAAATAAATAAATAAATAAATAAATAAATAAATAAATACGGTTAAATTATGAAATGTAATATGCAATGATAGGTGTGGGACGGTTGAAAACAAGAGCACTAGAGGACATGGGCAAACATATATTCAATATAATGCAATCAGATGAGGCTAATATAAGTGTATGACAATAAAAACACATAGGCAGTAAATGTGCGAATATAATGAATAGACGTAATGTGAGATTGTGATTAGGGTTTGGTAATTTTGATTTATGGTCGGTAATAGACGTAATGAAGAGAGCAATAGTTGAAAGCAGTAATCAAAGTTACGTGTATGTCATTAATTGTCATCATACATATTTAGTGTCTTTTGTGTGTTTATTTCTTATTCATTGTGTTAATTTATTGCCCAATTTTTTACTGTCCTATAATTACTGTCTATGCTCACCATCAACATTTATTACTACCTCAAATATCGACTCATGCTTCTCAAACTCTTACTCTTCACTATTAGCACTGCTTTGATTATCAATGAGGGAAACGACTTATTATTTATAGTGTATTTATTACTATTCCTAAAAATAAGAATTTAGGTCATATATGGAAGGGCATTAGCGGTTTTCATTCTTATAAGAACACTTTGTTGCATGTATGTCATACTCCCTCCGTCCTCAATACTTTGTCATGTTTGACCGGCACGAGAAATAATAAACTAAAAACTGTGTGGTTTATATATGTGCAGAGCAGAGAGAAATAACATGAACCACAAATTGGTTGATTAAAAGGGAAAGTGACAAAGTTTTAGGAACATCCAAAAAAGGAAAGATGACAAAGTTATAAGGGACATAGAGAGTATTAAATTTTGTCATACGGAACACTAAAAAGATATATGGTCATATTCTTGGAAAACTCGTGTGTTTTAGTAATATCGGGGTATTTTTCCCTTAAAGCATTAAATAAAGAAAATGGGATCAAGCATCCACACATATGTTTACTTATTAATGTAAAATGTCAAAATCTCAATTTAAGGCACATTTGTGGGGTTGGGCAATACTGGAGTGGATCCAGGGTTCCCGGTCGGACCTCCCGGTCTGGTGGTCCATATTTTGTTACACTGGTAATAAGCTGTAATTTAATGACCAACGAATATGCCGACGACATGGGCAGAGCTAGGGGTGGGCCAACCTATATGTGTACTGACCTGACCCGACCTGGGCTCGGCCCGGTCTCAGAACCTACCCGGGCTGGTACCGGGCCTCCAACTCCCAAACCCAGTACCGCCCAAGGCCCGACCCGGACCCGGTCCATCCCTACACTTATCCTCTTCCCTTCTCCCGAAACCTTATCTCCCTTGTGCATATTTCATCTCTTCCCTTCTCCTGATGTGATTGATGGAGTATTAACTCCTAGATTCTAGAGAGAAGTGAGAGCTAGAGATAGAAGTAGTATATTTGCTTTGTATTAATGAATTCTATCAACCCTTACAACTACTCCTAAGGGGAGTATTTATAGAGGAAATTAGGGCTGGGCTCCCAAGTCTTGGGCTTGGGAGGCCCATTTACAACAGGGCCACTAATGGGCCGGATACAAAGTGTATAGAAATGATGAGTATAAAATCCTGTTCTAGAGGCTATCTATAGATGACGAGGACATGGACGATGAGGGCATGGCCGATGAGGGCATGGCCGACGAGGTCACCCGGTTCTCCTGACTTCTGGATCATATTCTGGGTGGCCTTCTTTCTGGCCGATGAGAGCATGGCCGATGAGGGCATGGCCGATGAGGTCACCCGGTTCTCCTGACTTCTGGATCGTATTCTGGGTGACCTTCTTTCTGGCCGATGAGGGCATGGCCGACGAGGGCATGGCCGACGAGGTCATCCGGTTCTCCGAGCTTCTGGATCATATTCCGAGTAGACCTTTTTCTGGTCGATGAGGGCATGGCCGATGAGAGCATGGCCGACGAGGGCATCCTGGTTCCCTGGCTTCAGGATCATATTCTGAGTCGGTCCCTCTTCGGCAGACGAGGGTCCCTCTTCTGAGTATGTGGGTCCTGGGGCCTAGACCCATATACTCCATCAGTGATATATCAATTTCTTCTACCGTACATACCATGTCGATTGCATCACCGACTTCATCCCTAGCCGACACCGATGCCGACTCCACCGCGCACACCGCCGTTTGGTCAGGTTCATTCTCTCCCTCCTCCTCCTATTATTCTATTTTTTTGGCTTTGAAATTGATTTTTCTGATTTTTATTCCACTCTTCTATTTTTTTAGTTTTGACATTCGATTTGTTGCGGAAATTTTCGTTTTTCAGATATTTAGTTGTGGCCTTCATATTTTGCCAATATTATGGCAACTTTGTGTAAACGGAAGAAATATCTGCCAATTTTATGGCAGATTTGAAAATTTAATGGCAAATTTATTTTATCTTCAAGGCAAAATCTGCCAACTTAATGACATATTTACGAAGCAATGTTAATTTAGTACACTATCTATAGGAACATGTCAAATGACATGTTTTATACATAATGTCTTAACTACCAAAAGATTTTGTATTTGGGAAAATAAGAAAGCAACGATTATTGTACACTACGAATTGAAGGCAGCTCTATATAAAGTATTCCACACTCATCCACGTCAATAATGAATAACTGTTGTGTTGGGGTTAATTATTTAAATGTTATGCAGTGGTATTTTCATTTTCAATAAGACTTTATACTCGCTACTGTAATTTGTACTAGTTTAATATTTTGAAATTTATAAAAAAATTGAAATTTGTTGTTAAATATTACGCTTTGTGGTTAATTGTTACGCCTTTTAGTTTGCAACTACTTATATATCTTTATTTATTTTCCGTTCATTCCCGTTCATTATTTGTCTAGATATACAATTTATTTTTAGTTTGCAAGCAAATGTGTTGTAGTGCTTTATAAAAAGTATGCAAATTATTTTATCGCATCACTCCCGCGTAAAATACTTTATACGGTACAATGCAAAATATTTTCAAAAAATACGTTATAGTTCACATTAACTAATCAAAGTAGCAAACTAAACGGTGTAAACTTTTTACACCGTTTTAATATAAAATTTTAAAAATAATTACATATTTATGATTAAAAAATGTTCATAAAAATGTGACTAGTGATTAAAGAAGTAATGAAATAATCAAATTTTAATTTAAATACCATAACACTGCATTGCACCACTTATAAGTCAAACGTGTATAAATGAGTTTATTTTAGTACGGAGTATTATTTTTGAAAATACTCACAATTTTATACGTAGGAATTTTATAGGGCTTCAAAAATAAGAGTCCAAAATTAACAAAAAGGCCACACGCAGTACCTTTAAACTAGGAAGACTCGTCTACGTCCAGTGTCTGTCGTCCACAATAAAGGTCGAAGTGTCAAACGCCCAGCTAAGTTGCCGACTCCGTTCGCGGCTTCGTCCTCCGGCAAGCGCCAGCACGCAGTTCGGCAACACCGCCACTCCGCCAGGCGCCAGCACCGCAGCACGTCTCGTCAGTCACCCTTCGGCGGTTCGGCCATTCCGCCCTTCTCAATAGTCACCTTCCGTAGTTCCGGTATTCCTCCAATCCTTCCCCTCTTTATTGATTAGTTCCGGTATTTTTCCAATTGATATTCCTTATTTATTCCAAAACAGTTCTCCGTGTTGCTTTTTTGGTCAAACTGGTCAAAGTTAGCCTTCTTCATCAATGTATTTAGTGATTTATAAAGTTTATACTTGTATGATAGTAGTTTTTTTTTTATCATCAATGATAGTAGTTTTAATAAAGAGCATTTACACGTCCCTTTAATATTACGGAGTATAAATAATTTTTTATAAAAATATGTATTTGGAAGTTTGATGTCTTTGACCAGAAAAGTCAAATTTGAAAATATGTTTGGGATTAAGAGAGTATAAAATAAAGGGATCAGGTTTTGAATAGTAAAGGTAGGTGATTAGTATTTTTAAATACATCCCAAATAGAAAAGTGTAGCAAAATCTTAAATAAGGCTGAGTATAATTCACAACTTATTACTGAGTACGGTATATGTTTAGTAAATGTGTGAGTTTTCTTCTTTTCCCAGTTTTTTCTATGCATGTATGTGTCTGTGTGTGTAATATATTTGTAATATAACACACACTCACACAACTTCAAAGCTAAAATCTAATCTTCCTTCTGTCTTCTGAAAGATTGAATCTTTGAGTAGTTTGGAGCTGGAAATATCGAGGATTGGTCTGCTATACTTGTTTTGAATAACCGCTATAGACAATGTCCTTGGGCTTCCAAGTTGCCGCATTGGTGGGCGCACCTTCCTGCCCCAATGCTATTGCCTGGTCAGAGGACAATTTGGTAGCCGTGGCTTCGGGTCATCTTGTTACTATTCTGGTAAAATATTTATCTATTTTTGGGTCTTGGTTCTATTTCCGTACTCCTATTACCAGTATAGTTTATTTTCACAAAAAATCATGAAACTCGTTGTATGACCGAGGAAATTTGTCTGATTTTTTTCTTCCAGAACCCTGCTAAGCCATTTGTAGCTCGTGGACTAGTTACAGTTCCTGCCAGCAAGCCTTTTCAAATTGGGCTGGTTGACAAGAAAGGTACATTTGTGTATTTTCTATTGAGATGGAAGAGAGTGGCATTAGTTTTTCTGCTAGTTCTGTAAAGAAGATTTATTTACAGAACTAGGAATTAATGTGAATTGTTTCTGATATTGCATGTTATCTAGTGTTGCTGTCAATGTAAATCAAGTTGACCTCATGTTTGTCCTTGGGATTTTTGCAGACTTGACATCTGGTTGTTTATTACCTATTTGCATATCACGAGACATTCGCCCTTGTGTTAGGTCAATTTCATGGTCTCCTATTGGATTTGCCTCAAATGCCAGGTTTGCCTTCCAACAATTACAAGTATACCATATACCATAGTCTGTATTTGGCTTGTTTCTCTAAATTGTCATGATGATTTATCTAAACAGCTGCTTTCTTGCCATATGCACCACCGAGGGGCGTGTGAAGGTTTACCGCATGCCTTTCTGTGAGTTTAGAGTTGAGTGGATAGAGGTATTCAGCGAGGAAACAAACATTCCACAATATGTTCTTTTGTTATAATATTTTATCTTCATTAGTTTGTTGATAGTTATTATACATTTATACCATTCTTCTTTTAACTTTAGTAGGTAGTGGACATATCCGAGATGCTTTACACTTATCTTGAAAATGCCAATTTTGAGGATGCGAGCATATCTTCTAATCTTTCATATGTAAGTGGATTACATACGAGTATTTTTTAATTATGGGTATCGTTCATTACCTAAGTGATTCTTTCTTTTTCATGTCCATGTTTGTTTCTTCAGTAAGGGTATGTTTGGAATCTTTGGATTATAGAAATTGCTAGGAAAAAGAAAAAGGTGATAAGCAAAGTTACTTTCTTTTGTTGGGCTTTACCTTGCTTGGTTAGTGGCTTAGTGCAAATGAAATAAAAATGTGCTCTAAAATTACTTTTTTCATACATTTAAATTTCTCAGTTTTTGTATCATAGAAATATATATATAATGTATGTGAAAAAATAACTAAAATAAATTTATATAGGTCGAGTTTATTCTTCACTTTTCCCCAAGTCCCCCCCTCACTTATTCCCCCCCCCCCCCCACTATTTTCCTTGTCCCAAATGGAGCCTTATATAATTTCTCCATTTTCCTTTGTTTGACAAACAGACAACTGATGCCTGTGATAACCCAGAATTTGAAGAAGACATGACGCTATCTCATTTCTTGAAAACAAATAAGCAAAGGAAGCTGAAAGCCTTGACTGTAATGTACACTATACGACTTATATTCTGAAGAAAGAGTTGAACAATTTGATATAAGCAAAAATAACCAGCTTTTAGAGGGAAATTTTTGCTTATTGGATTTTTTATTCCATCTACAGGTAGTAAATGTCAAAGATGGTGTGGTGAAAAAAAAAACACGGCGTCTCTCTGCCGAAGAATATGCCTCTCGTAATGCAATGATATCTTCACTAACTGTGGCGTGGTCACCCCATCTACGATGGAAAAGTGGCTTTTCAGTGCTTGCGGTGGGAGGAAAGTCTGGTAGACTTTCATTTTGGAGATTCCATCAACCGCAATGCTATTCCACACGGAGCAGTTCTGAATCAAGCCATGCATCGTTTTTGGGTTTCCTTCAAGCCCACAACACTTGGATTACATCAATAACATGGGCTTTGATTGATTCTGATGCTTCAAATCATCAAGTTATGCTTTTTACCGGAAGTTGTAATGGGAGGTGAGTATAGATATTGTAAGATTGGGTCTACCTCACCCCAAAAGGTTGACTTCACAGTCTCACACTTATATATGCTAGACTACATATGTACCTAGCACAGTACCAATGCGGGTACTCGTTACATCATCCACAGCCCAAGTCGGTCTGATAACTAATGGGTTGGACAAATGGACCCAAACCGACTCCAAACTAAACGCTTTAAACCACTAAATTGGCTTATGTCTCACGAGTGTTAAATTACCGTCAGACCAGACTGTGGTACCATATTAATTTGTGTATAATATACCCAAAAAGATCTAGAAGAGGTGCTTACCACACACTCACAAATTAAACACATGACCAGTAATAGCAACCAATATTACGAACCATGAAGGTCCCCTTATAAGCCCTTTTTGTGTACTTTTCTGTGGTTTATCTTATACTTCGTATTGAGGATGTGGTGTGAATATCTGGCTTATCTTTTTCTTTTCATTTATGTAGTGTGAAGATCTGGCAAGCATGCAATAAAGAACTTCAGGAATCTTCAGACATCAGTCCTGTTTCATTCTCTCTTCTAAAAGAGGTTCAATTTCATAATGAGAATTTTAATCAATTAAGTTATGTGCAATGTAAGATTCAGGGAAAGTTTCAAAGAATGCTATTGATTTGACCAAAAAGGCCCTTTAAGTGATGGTGTATGCCTGTATGGGTTGCTATCCTTTACTCTCCTAAAGGGGTTTTTGGTATTCCCTGAACCTTGTTGGTCTTAATTTCTCTACCCATACACTTGGTCCTCATTCAGTCATAGTGAGTCTGTTGGATATATGATGACAGGTTACAAGCGTAGATTGTGGACCGGTTTCTGTGCTTTCAGTCATAGTGCCTTTAGATTCACCAAGCAAAATTTCTTTAGCTATTGGGAAAGGATCAGGAACAGTTGATGTGTGGATTTGTGAGATGTGTAGCAGCACATTCAAGAAAGTTGGATCTTACCGTGGACATGATCATATTGTACGTTCTCATCATTGATTCATCATGGTTGGCATAATTGTTACCCCTAGAGTATGTTTAGATCATGGAAAATGCTAGCGAAAGGGGGAAATGCCAAGGAGTGTTAGTCAGTATCTTTGTTTTATGGTTTACCTCAGAAATGTAAAATGGTTAACTTTTACTTATTTATTTTACTAAGATTTAGATCTTTATCTTTCTAATTAACCTAGGAAAATATTCTGCTCTTCAAAATTTTATCTCTATTTTCCCCCTCATTTTCTTTCCCAAGACTACTCTGAGATTCAAGTGAACCATTAACACGTGTGGAATTTCACAGGTCACGGGTCTGGCCTGGGCTTTTAATGGACACTGCCTTTACAGCTGCAGTCAGGTAATCTACTTTAGATGTTCATCTTCTCAACATTTATGATGCCTTACCATTTATTAATGGCTAGAATGTTAGATAACTCTGTATTCTGAATAATATGCAGGATAACACCCTTTGCAGTTGGATATTGATGGAAAATTACCTACACCAAGTTTCTATTCCCTCAAACACCCTTGGAATGATGAGTTCTGCTGATATGCCTACTGCTTTTGATTCATGTTGCGGTCTTGCAGTATCACCGGGAAATCTTGTGCTTGCTGTGGTAGTTTTCTACCCTTTTGGTCATTGTTTAATATTTTATCCTATTATTCCACCTCCATTATTATTGTATACATATGTACTTATAATAACCTTCTCCAATTTCCAAGGGTATCATTTGGTAATAAGGCGCTGAAAAGAATTAAAAAATCACATGATTTTTAATTTCTTTTTTGTAACTTCTTGGATGTCTTTAATCATGTATTGTCATTAGAAAATGGTTGAGCTAAGTTACATAAGCCAATTTGTGCAGGTACATGGCTATGACACTGAACTATTAAACCCAATGTACGAGGCAAGGTCAGTTTTTAAATTTCTTTTTCCTTCATTACGAGAAACTATTAAATTGCTCACTAAACTGTCTGCGCTTCTTTGTTATGAAGTATCAATCAGTCTATGCAATTTTGGACGCGATTTTCACTATGGGTCATCCGAAAACAGTCTCTTTGTGCTTTAGTACAAGGGTAAGACTGCATACATCCGACCCCCCCCCCCCTACCCCACCGTAGGTGGGAGCCTTTGCGGCACTGGGGTAAATGAAAATGATGAAAATGATGAAACGAGAAAGTTATGTAGTTTCTTCTAAGATTACCTTTTAGTCCTCAAGGTCATAATCGTATTAAGTTTTCTTTCGAAACTGGCATCTTAGCATCTAGCAGGGAAACGAAGGAAGAAAGTTTGAAAGAAAGAAATTTGAGAAAAAAAAGATACTGTTGACCTTATTTTTTGTAGATATTTTTTCAAACTTATTTTTATTTATTTATTTGTACTTTACTACTATATAAAAACTAAATACATTTAAAAAATATTAAAGTTAATCATTCTTTATTTTTCATTTGCATATTTGAAGGTATGCCAAACATACCACAACCCTTTAGTTAACGTTCCCCTCTGCAGCTCAAACGTACCCTTAAGAATTTGGAGTGATCTATTTAGTGTATTTATGGGAGAATTAATTCTTGGTAATACTAACAAGTCCAACATCAACAATTGATAAAAATACACACAGGTCTTGTAAAGCTGCAATAGAGTTCTTGTGGATTGGAGGGCAGCATCTAGATCCCATCTCTGATATACTTCCAGATTCTTCCGAGAGAGAAATGACATGTTTGGAAACTAATATACTATGGTCACTACAGCAATTCAATCATAATCCGCTAGATAAGCCTTTGATCATGTGGGACATTGTAGCAGCACTTCTGGCCTTCAATCAGTCTAATCCAAAATGCCTAGAAAATATACTATTAAAGTGGTTGGCGTCGGTACTTGGAGGACCCGAGTGTGACATTTCTACAGATTTATCTCAAGCCTTTTCTAGGTATCTCCCGAGATTGGCATCTCGAACGTTACAACTATTCAATGTGATAACCAGACAGGTAGTGTTAAAGATGGATGATGATAAAGACCTTGGTGGAGTGGAACTGTGGGACATGTGGAAGAAGGTGCACATAGATGTTGAAAGAGAATTAAGGGATCGGCTTGTTGGGTTTAGCCTTTCTGTTATTTCATCAAATATTGTGTCTGGTTGTGATGAAGAGGATAATGTTTGTAGGATTGGAGGTTGGGTTCCTATAGGATTAGCACAAATGGAGAGGTGGGTTGATTTCAACAAAGCTGATATGAAAGAGAATCTGATGCACCTTGCGGAAAATGTGGGTAGAACGAAAAAAAGGTACTTACATCTGTCTAGATCTGTTTCTATGGTATACTAACTCATGAATTTAGTGGATGAAGGTGAACTCGGAGTACGTGGGGGGGGGGGGGGGGGGGGGAGATTAAACATGAGACTCTATGGGAAAGGTTGGAGCGTTGTACACTTGTACCGCAATAGCTAAATCCATCTACCAGCAGGGCCACATCCCAAATTCATTCGCAAATAAGGGTTGCAAGATTATTTGTGTTAATAATAAAAATTTGTATATTAAGAAACTACACTTAAAGCTCTATTGGAAAAAAAACACTCAAAAAAAACCAAAGTCGGATTTGATGAAAAAATTACTCAAAAATCAGACGAGATTCTTTTAACAAATGAATAGTGAAATAACAGAAGAATTTGGAACAAATAGAGCATTAAAATTCTGTAGTATATTTTAATGAGTGCGGATTTACATATTCTTATGTTTAGAATATTTGATAAAAAACAATTACTCAAAAACCAGACAATAGATTCTTTTAACCAATGAATAGTGAAATAACAGAAGAATTTGGAACAGATAGAGCATTAAAATATTGTATTATATTTTTAGAGGCCGTTTGGCAACACTGTTTTTCGGCTTATAAGGCTTATCAGCCAACTTTTTCACCAAACACGTAATTTTTGCTTTTGCGCGCTGAATTGTGTAATAACCAGAAAAAGTAAGGCTGAAGTTACTTTTCTGGCTGTATTGGCTGAAGTTACTGTAGATGACCATTTTAGCTATTTTACATATAATTTTTTCTTTATTTTATTAATAAAATATATTTAAATTTTTCTTCTTAAATCAGCAGAATCAATCAATGCGGCCACTTCAGCCAGAAGCCCAGAACTTTATAAATTTCAGCAGAATCAGCCACATCAGCCGATTTTCGTGTTACTAAACGGGCTCTTAATGAGTGTGGGTTTACTTATTCTTATGTTTAGAATATTTAAAATGGGGTTAGTGCCGTGTTCTGGTACCCATAGGTAAATGGTAAATGGAGTTGGGAAATATTCAAGCAGAAAACAATTGTGTTTGGGACATGTTTGAAGTATTATAAGTTGGATTTGGGTTTTATTAGATGGATGGATATTCCACCCGTTTCTATCCCTACTCCCCTACCTGCATTATTTGGGAGCTTTGCACTGAGTACCTTCTTGTTTTCCTGGCTACAGAAGATTAAACTCCATCTACACGATGCAAGAGGAGTGCAGCTTCTGCTCAGCATCGGTTCCATTAGGCTCTCCAGAATTTGCATTTTGTCAAGGAGAGAAGACCAACGAATCAGAGACTCGCGGTCCAAGCCATAAACTACCCCGCTGCTCCGTGTCCATGCTGGTCTGCCCTCCAACCACTCCTCCATGGCATTGCGTGTGTTGTAAGCGCTGGGCTTCACAACTAGCTCCTTCAACCCTTTTCACACTGCCAGAATATCCATCAGATTTTGAACCTTTTATCCAGCAGCAGCGTTCTTCTACACATCCAACGAAGCCTTGGTGCCCTTTTTGTGGGATTCTTTTGCAGAGATTGCAACCAGAGTTTCTGCTCTCTCCAACTCCGGTATAACTAGACTGTGTTTTGGTAGTAGAGTTTAGATAGCTACTTTGTAGGTAGGATCTAATGTAATTTTGTATGTAACCATTTTTACTAACATGTGTAAGAATTACGGAGTAGTCATTATCTTGATTAAATAAATAAATAAATTATTGGTTGAATTCAAAACACCACTTTATTATGTCTAAAATCTAGCCTGCCCTGGGTAATTTTGTACTGTGCCTACCAGTCTACCACGATATCTCATTAGATTAGTTAATTAAAAATTGCTCTAAATATGAGCAAAAACGTTTTGAAATTCCAAAATATGAGTCATGTTTTTTTATTCCCTGAATAGGAGTATGGTTAGACTCGGGTCGGGCCACCCGGCCTGTGGACCGGCCTGACCCGCTACTGTGCGGGACCGGGACCGGCCCGGTTCTCGGATCCGGGTCCGGGTCGGGTCTAGGGTCGGTGGGTAGTGCGGGTCCGGGCTCGGGTTTCACATTTGGCGAACCGGCCCGGCTGGGTCGGATTCGGGCCAAATTGATTTTTTTTTTCATTTTTTGGGGTTCCACCCGGGTTGGGGTTGATGGTTAGGAGGGGTTTGGGGGTTAGGAAAGCAAAAAAAAAATACCCAAATCGGAGGCCCGGCCTGGACCCGGACCGGACCTAGTGGCTACCCGGGCTGGTCCCAGGTCCACCATTCCTGAACCCGTCCTTTTGGGCCTAGGCCTGACTCGGACCCGGCCCGGCCCGAGTCCAACCCTAAATAGGAGTAATCTGTCAAGTTTGGAAAAAAATGACATGTTTTAAAACCTAGTAATGTCAAACTTAGCAGAAATTTACTCCTGTCACCTTAACATTTAACAAACAAGCTTCTAGATCTGTTTATGTGAAAAACCAAGACAAAATTGAAAGAAATAGATAAGAAATAATGTGAAAAGAAAGAAATGAGCTTCTCGGTATATTTTGGCTCTATGTCTTTCTACCATGTTTTCTTCTCTTCTACCATGTTTACCACTAGGTTTAAAAAAAGAGAGAAAGAATGGGTTCTTTTTTTTGAAAGAGAAAGAATGGGTTCTATGTATTGTTCTTTGATCCACAAGAAAGAAATGTTAAATAATTATGTGTTATTTTAAAAATGAAAAATATCAATACAAGGTATACTAATAATATGAAGAGTACAATCATAAAAACAAACATGTACACTGTTTTCTTCTCATAATATACGTTTCTTTCCATTCAAATCCTCACATAAGTCATAAACAAACATCTAATGTTCAGCCTTGACTTCTTTGTCTCTTAATAAACTAAAACTAAAATTCCCAAGTATGTACTATTATTACATGTATGTAATAGAAGTAAAGAACTTACATATATATTCTTTCAAAAAAACTTACATATATGTATTACATTATTCAGTAATATAATTATACATTTATTTATGGATTACATTATTTATATAATGTACATGGTAATATATTTGTTACATGTTTGTATCGATACGACATCAATCGGCTCTATATAGATATGTATAATTTCTATAAAATAGAATTTCTTAAGCAGGTATGAATCATATGAAAGTTAAAATTACATATATCACATTCTCTGTTTAGAAGAAAAAAAAACAGAATGTGAACTAGTCTAAATAAATACTAGTAGACTCAAGTATGCTAAAAGAGGTTAAGTTAAGATACAATCTTGGTCCAAACTACACCAACTTATATGTCACTTAAAAGTTAAAACTACTTATATACGGAGTAATTACTGTTTTTCAATGAGAAAATTACTTTAAATAATGAACATGTAGAACACTATCTTCTGGCACTAAATCCGGTCACTTACCTACCTTTAAAATTATTAAATAATCAAATAACTTTTATTTGATACGGAGTAGTTTTTATGAGTTTTTGATAATTTAAGTGACTAAGGTTATGTTTACAAACAATTAAAACAATTGATTTTCAGTTTTTGACTTAAATGAGTGTTTTCAAACGACAATTTCTACTACGATAAAAAAACGACAATTTCTACTTAAACTAAACACTCAAAAGTTAAAAGATGAAAATTGATTTTTACTTCATCTATTACACAAAAAACATTTATTTTATCAAACATTATCAACTTTTACTTTTCAAAATTAATTTTTTTCAAACACCCCAAACTTTTACTATTAAGCGATTTCTCCTTAATTTGTTGCCAAAGTCAATTTAGGGTATCCTCATAACAAAATCGACTATACGTCGTCGTTGCAGCAGACTTGCGCAGTGGTTAGTAGCTCAACACATGTTTTCACTTTTCAGGTGGGAAAGGGAAGCTACAGAAATGGAGATGATAGCGGTGGAGGACATAGGCATAGGACAAGACCTCACTCCTCCGATCCTGCCCATCGCCGCCGCCCTCCATGATTCCTCCCGCTTCTCTCACTGCTCCGCTTGTTTCTCTCCTCTCCATGATTCTCCAGATTCCCATACTGCCCCGCCACACTTCCTCCGCTACTGCTCCCGCCTCTGCTCCTCTCTCGACTCTCCTCTCCACTTCTCCTCCGCAGAATTTCATCTCCTCCGACACCCTGCTACTCCCACTTCACCCGAAACCTCCGACCTCCGCCTCTCTCTCCGCCTCCTTCACAGATTCGAAACTCTGCGTCTCGTTTCCCGCAACGACGCGGCATTGGATAGGATTGGAGGTATGATGACAAACCGCGCGGAGTTGTTGAGGAAGGAGATTGAGGTGGATGTGGAGACCTGTGAAGAATACGAAGAGGTGTCCGAGAGGATCAGAGAAGGCGCGAGAGCTATGGCAGCGGCTAGGAGGATGCGAGACGGTCTGAATTTGGAGTCATCATTAGCTGAAGATTGCGCGATGGAGGAGGCTGTGTTGTGTTTGGTGCTAACTAACGCTGTAGAGGTGCAGGATAGTACAGGGTGCAGCGTGGGGGTGGCTGTTTATGGTCCAAGCTTCTCTTGGATTAACCATAGCTGCTCTCCCAATTCTTCTTACCGGTTTTCAACAGTTCCCAGCTCAGGAGCTGCATCATCCTGGCTTATACACCCGAAGCCCACAGATGGTGATAATAGAAATGGAAGTGAGCTGATCAACACTAATCTTAGTCTCAAATTCTTATCGTCACTAGGTAATGTTATCTCACCAGCATTTTATTTCAAGAAGAATGTCATTCATTCTTTAGCTTATAATTTTTCAATTATTTCATCATGATTGTTAGAGTTGTTCTTTTCTTACAATTCTTATTTTCTGCCGAGTTTGGGTATCTATTTTTTGTAGTAATTAGCTTATGGTATTGCAGGAATTGAGGAAGGATATGGCCCCAGTTTAATTATGCGCAGCATAAAGGATATTAAGAAAGGAGAGGAGGTGCTAATAACATACACAGACTTGTTACAACCCAAGGTAGTAAGGTATGCATTACAGTTGAATTATTGCTTTTTTCTTATGATGAATATTTCTCTCTTCATTTATACACATACGTAGTATTTTCCCTAAAGTTGAAGCTGTGGTCAGATAGAATTTATTTATGTTTATAGGGGATGAGACGATTTGAACTGCGGTTAAAGTACCGGTTCCTTTGCTGCTGCAATAGATGCAATGCAGATCCTAAGTCATATGTGGATCATATTTTGGAGGTGATGAAAATAACTCTACCTTCACTTGGAGCTTGTCTGGTTAAGCTTAAAGTGTCTGAAGTGGCTGAATTTGGTGAAGTTGTGGTTGTAAACTTGTAGTGGCTGAATTCCCTAAATATGTAAGGTTTTTTATAAAAAAAATACTTGTATATGCTTAAACAAATTAAAGAAAATAATCATATCTAATAATAAAGCTAGAAGTGTCAACTCCATCATTTCAGCAAAAAAGAACCACTTGGAGACTGACTAGTTGCCGTACTTCTTTTAGTTAGCCAGGTGCGGCTTTTTAGTGGCTGATAAGTCACAAATGAACCCTACCAAAGTACCAAACGGGCTCTTCTAATAACAATTGACATTTGTCTCTTGATGATCGCACATTAATGCTTTTCCTCTACTTTTCTCTACAGGAAGTTTCTTTCACCAGTCTTGGTTGTTCAACCTCGACCATTACTAGCAACTTCTGTGGGGATTTTAATTTTACCAACAAGAAGTTGGTTGCACGATTTGATGATGCTATAGATGAATTCCTTGCATCAGATAACTCCATATCTTGTTGTTCTGAGCTAGAGAACCTGCTAACTCATGGTTATCCTACTGAAACGACATGTGAAACTCTCAAGCTTCACCCGCTTCACCATCTTTCTTTAAAAGCCTATACAACACTTGCCTCAGCTTATAAAGCCTTAGCAAGTGACTTATTTGCTCTCAACCCCATGAGTGATAAAGATAATCTGAAGGCTTTTAGTTTCAGCAAAGCCAGTGCTGCCTACTCCTTATTGTTAGCTGGTTCTACCCATCACTTGTTCCTCTTTGAACCTTCCCTTATAGTGTCTTATGCAAATTTTTGGACAAGTGCAGGTCAGTCCTTGCTTAGTCTTGTTGAAGAATTTTCATCTTTCTCAAGTCAAAGCTGTAAAAAGTGCACCCTTCACAAACAAGATTTTAATGTGGAACTTCCGGAAATAAGTGGACAGTTCTTGAATTGCGTCTCGGATTTGATACCAAAAGTTTGGCATTTTCTTTCCGAGGAGGGAAGGTTTTTGGTTTTGGTCAAGGATCCCATTGATTTTAGATGGATTGGAAGTATGGGGTTTTCAATATTGGCTCCAGATAATGCCAGCTCGGAATTGAAATCGAATGCTGAAACTGAAAGTGTGGATTCTACTTATGTGAAAAAATGTTTATTTCAGGTTGGTTTTCATTGTGTATTATATGGATCGTTCTTGTCAAGTCTATGCTCCGGTCAACAGATTATACCATGAATACATGAATGTAACTTGTCCAGGTTAGCTATAAATGACAAAGTGAGGTTAAATTTTCTATTAAACTGAAATATCTATGGGATGAAAAAGCTTGTTTGGTAAGGTAGAATTGTGAAGTTTTGCTGAAATTGTTCTAATTGTGAAGTTGAAATTACTTAATTACGAGTAAAATGATCACTCATTTTCAGGGGGGAAATGTATCTCCAGTCCCTACTTTTAAATCATCCCGTTACTCTGTTTAACCAAATTGTGAAGTATATTGATGTTTTTTTTGGGCAAAGTATATTGATGTTTTAAAAATTGCCACTTGTTGAGTTACTGTAATTCCAATTATGCGTTAAAAACAATACACTTCATATAAAATAACAATTAAAAGGGCTTGAGGGAAGTAAATCCTCAATATGATAAAAGTGAAGAACACAGGTGATTTATTCTGAAATGATCAATAATTCAAACGGTCACTGGAAAATATAAAACTTCAAATAACTACCATGCATGCAAAAACAAAACTTCAGATATAAGCTCGTGGCATCAGAAACTAGAATGCACCGGGAGTTTACGCAACAGGCACCACTGTGGGAGCGGGTGTAGGCGGGCCACAATAGTCGCGAAGGATGTCCGCCTCCTCGGCCGTAAACCCAATGGAAGTGAGCATGGAAGGCCAGCAATCGTACATGATAGTCCTTATAGACTTGCAACATTCTTTCCCCAAATAAGCCTCCCCATTGAAGAAGAAAAGTATGATCTCATTGGTGCATGACTTCAGCTCCAACATTGCGTCCCAACACTGTGCTGCCCCGCCCCCGCTGCCATTCAACCTTGCAGCAATCCCATAGCCCACCGCCACTTTCACGTCCGTTGCCGCCCCGGCAGTCGCTAAAAGAGCCCATGGTAGTGCTAGTAGTATGAGAGGGATTAGCTTCATAGTAGCCATAAGATTGATATATGTTTCGTATATCTCCTAATGACAGTAATAATCTCAAAAGTAGTTCATTATCTGATCGTACTGAGATGGATATTTATATACAGGGTGTAAGTGGTAACTGATGGAGGAAGCTTAGAGGACTCGAAAATTTACTTGTATTTACTCGAGTAATAATCATGCAGTAATAATAATTATAAAAGAGGGAATACCAGTAGCTCGTGGCTGTTTCAGAATGTGAAGAGACGTACAGTCATTTATCTGTAGTAAATCGTGGACAATGGAGGACCTAAGGGGGCCTGGGGGCAAGTGCCCCGCTTCCGACCCCGGAATTTTATTAGTATTTAAAGATAAAAATCGTGTCGCCCTTCGCGGATAAATAAAACTATTAAATATATATGAGGATCATTCTGTGAAAGAGCATATAACAATTGTATTGAGAAATGTAAACGGAAATTGTCCTCAATAGGACTAATGAGTCTCTAAAAAGCACAAATAGAACTACTACTTTTTAAATCCCCCAAATAGGACTAAAAATAGGACTACTTTTTAAGAAGAAGAGAAGGATTAAAAAGAAAAACATAAAAAGGGAAATGAAATAAAAATACAGAAAGAAAAAGAAAATGACAAAAAAGAGCTATTTTGAAGAGAAATTTTACAAAATAAAATCTCTCCTAATAGAGTGAGAAATAGAATACTAAAAATGGAAAAGAAATAAGAATAAAATGATAGAAAAAGTAATAAAAAATGTCTAGGGATGAGAATAAACAAAGAAAATTTTTAGGGAGAAAAGAAAAAATGATCAATGGGACCATTTTGAGCAAATTTGTGAAAGGTGAGATTATTTATATAAGGTTTTTAAAGAAGGGGTAAAAAACCTGGTATAGTAGGTCATCAACAGGTCAGGGTCCAACGGAAGAAGATGGGTGTAAAGTTGAGATTATTTTGGGATTACGTAAAGGTGAGATTATTGTGAGAAGATCAGTGAAAGGTGGTGGGATTATTCGTGTCAATTTTTCCTAAATATTATTTTTCACAAAATGAATAAAAATTTACATTGCATTTTTAAAAGTTACCGTCCGTAAAGAGACAATGTAGATTTAGACAGTTGAATGAAATTTCAAATGAATATTAGCACAAGTAGTGCACAACAATTTCGTGAAAGGGTATGCAAATGTTGGGCACCATTTGCACCAATTGCACGTAGTGCGTACACGGCTAGTTATTAATAATACATATTTGTTTTAGTATATATACACACACATACGTGGTATGATCTTATTTGCCGAGCTAAGCAGATGTACCGTACCCTAAAAATTAATACATGCACGGTAGAATTTTCCTACAATCTTATCATCATGTACTTAATTAATGGGAGGACCAGTGATGCAAACAGCATATCTAAACTATAGTTGGAAAAAAGAGTGTAGATAAATATGAAAGTGATATTTCCATTGTTATTATATTCCTAGTCTTTTTTTTTGTCCTCTTAAATAAAATATAATCGTGTTTAATTATTATGCATCTCTCATTTAATTTTTTTTTTGAATATATCATATTTTAGAAGTTTTAAAATTTGAGATTTTTACTTTCTTAATCAACTTGAATAATCAAAGTAGAAATTAATACTGAGACCAATGGTGTACTGAAGCATTAATATGCGAAATTCATTTAGAGCCCTGAGCACCAATACCTAGCACCGTATATCTTCTGCGAGATGCAAAGAACATGGTCCAAAAGATTTATCATCTTGGCTTCAAAAAAGTAAATAAATTTATGATTTATAATAAGAATGTGTTTGGTAACCTTTTTCGATGTCATTCTTATGAGCCAATGCAAGTTTTAATAAATTAAATTGTAAGCTATAGGCCACTGATTATGTGACAACACATCTCGGCATGCTAGCATCCGTTTTTACTACAAATTAAATGGTTCTTGAAAGTTAGGTAAGACTAACATTGAGATATCTGTCATTTTGTTTTTGAGAAGTTCAAATTGTCCAAATTGTCTCTTTCTTTACTTCACCTCTTCTTTACTTCAAAAGGTTGAATCTCCCACCCAAGGGTCTTCCTTGCCCCGACCCGATAAATTGCCCCTTCTTTGTCAAGTCGGTAAGAGGATTAGAAATGGTGCCATATCTTTTTGTGAATCTTCTCTAATAACCCGTGAGTTCCGGAAAAGCGCTTAGCGCCTCGAGTGAAGTTGGATGAGGCATTGAGGCCAATTAGCCATGCTCTCAACCTTGTCAAAATCCGTTGCCACCCCTTCTTTACTAATGATGTACCAACGTACTCAATCTGATCTCATCCAAAACTACACTTGAACAATTTAGCATAGAGACTACTACCAAATGGAAATTCATTCTACGCTGAAATAGCCTATCAACTGAAGTGTCTTAGATGGAGTTTTCTCCTAGGGACTGTTTTCATTGCTATTATTTTGATTTCCACAAAATAGGCTTGATTTGTAAAATCAGTACTTATTATTGTATCACCAGGAGACTGCTTGATCAACTATTATGTACTCGTATTGCTTTATTTAATACTCCATATGTTTGATAAAGTGCAAGCTTTCCCCCCTTGAAATCACTAAAACAGAGAAGCATTACTATATTACATTTGTTGTGTAGTGTAGTATTGTCATTTGCTGCTTGACATTATGAAGTATTGCCATTGGCTGCTTGAAGTTGTACATTGAAAACATTATTTTTATTCCACTTTCTGCTTGAAGTTGTACATTGAACACATTATTTTTATTCCACTTTCTGCTTGAAGTTTCACAAAACGTAGGGTCTGTAATTATGTTGCAATTATGTGTTTGAAGGTTTGCAGTTATGTGCTTGAATCAATTTAGTGGAGTATTTAGCCTCTGTATTTTAAAGGTCTGTTAAATCAGAGAAGCAAATACAAGTCTTAAGGATTATAAAAATTACTCTCTGTTTGTCACCATTTATTCCAAGGAGACAACTGATAGAATAAACACTAGAGAAAAAAGACGCCACTAAACATCTGATAACTGGAAAATGCTCCTAAAATAAGGACAACCAAATATTAGAGTGGAACAAATATCAAATTAATTACATCATCAAGCCAACCCAGAGGGTTAACATCATTGATCAATATCCCAAAAATGTCACTCACAAGAAAGTTAAGTGCTCAAGCTTCCAATTGAACCAAGTAGCTTTCAAGATTCTCCTCATAAGTAAATATGGCGTGTGGAGTGTGGACTCACAAATTGAACTAACACCTAAGAGTCAGAATTTCATTTCATATTTAGGAGAGGACTCCCAATTTCTCATGTTTTGCTATCATTAAAATAAAAGTCAGGATCTCAGCGACAATTGCTCTCTCAGGTTATCTGTACTTGTCAAGACCTGTTTTCACACATGGACAATTGTACACGGCTGTTTTTCGGGTAAAGTTGAAGAAGGAATTGAAAATGCTTATCTTAGACGAAGAAGGTAATACATGTATGTCAACATTAGTTGTTTAGCCTGAGTTTTCCCAGAATCTCTAATTTCTACATACTTTCAAGTTTCAATGTATGACTCAATGCATGATATATAAGCACTTATTACTGATTACTTGTGATCGATTTACACTTCATGCCCAGAACACACAATTTGAAAGTAGAATAAAAAATCACAGATCAATTACCTTTACTGCTCCGTGCTCACTAATTTAAGAACAACTACATGATGAACTTGAGCACAACTATTTCACCATTGCTCATAAATGTATAAACGTTTCCAATAATAAACATGTTTTGGAAATAAATAAAAATGTAAAAAAGACACAAATAACCTCATAAACTGAGTCAATTTCTTAGTATATAAATTTTTTAAGAATTGAATCAATTGAACTAAAAGAAAAATGTATTAATACTGCTAAATTTGAAATGAAGTCTCCCCCTCCCCTAGGCACCCCCATCAAAAATATCTTTTTTAATCTTCTTACTTTATGACATAGGCAAGATTGAAGATGGAAAAAATCGATCAGATTTCATAATCTTATGCACTCAAATAAATCATTTTTATTGAAATTCCATGGATTTCATTCATAATCAGACAAAGGAGAAGTTTGGATTTCATTTACAGGAGACTAATCATAACTTTTGTTTTGCTTATCACATTCAAAGAGAGAATAAGTTAATTCTCCTGCATTTAGCTTTTCAATCCCAATAATAAAAAATCATTGGTAGACTCAGAAACCTGCCACCAGATTTACTCCATACGTTCCAGGTTCTTGCTAAACTAACTCTTAATATGAAACAGTAAAAACAAATGGATCATTTACTTCATTTTTGGCCAATATGACTAGATTTGGAAGGGGGTTAAATAGTAAAATGCCTTATATCAATTAGCATTCTAAACACCTTATATTAGACAACCAGAAGTCTAGAACTTATGATGTTCTTTAGGATGCTTACCGGATCTGGATAAACAATGATCACCCATCTACTTCAAGACTGCTCAAAAATAGCTTCCCTGTTATTGTCTTTGTGATCATCTTAATCTACTTCTTTTCTTCTTCTCGGTACACATACACCTACTAAAACGAAACTTTCTTAATATACCATTTGTCACCCATCATATCTCAAATTAACACCTGCATATAAACAAAAACAAATTGAGCACGGGAAACCTATAAGAAAGTAGAAATTCATTTTTGCATATCTCAATTAGTATAATAAGAAATCACAATTACAAAACTTCAATTTAACCTAGGATGATAAAATTGATAAACTGAAAATCAAATTACCAAACCAATAATATATTTTGGGAGTGCTTAAAAGATTTTTTACTCTCGTATTTTATCAAACACTAACTTTTGATTTCACGTGAGGAATTGTGTAATAATCAAAATAAACAATGTTGAAATTATATTTCTAACTTAATTGACCAAAGTTACTATAGAAGACGATTTTAGCTATTTTAATAAAAAAAATCTTAATTTTATTAATTAGTAGATTTTAATTTAAATTTTCACATAATTCAACAGATTCGATTCACTTAAACTACATTATGAATCAATATAATTATCCCTGAAATTTGAATTATTTACAAAAAAACTGAGAAGCACTTAGAAGCACCCCTACAACAGCTTTCAGTGTTTAATTTTGAAATGTTTAATTTAAGCAGAAGTAGGTGTTTGAAAACACTAATTTCAATCTTTGTTTAAAAGTGCTTTTTAAAAGCGGTTGCAAACACTCTCTAAACCTCAATAAATAGCTGATTGTGTTGGTCTGGGAGTGACCAAAATCTTTCAGAGCATGTCTATTTCTGAAGTTTATTCATATATGTTCAGCAACAGAGACAAGGGTCGGATGACACTTTTACCTGTTTTATTGTGTATTATTGATTTTTATTCTGACAACTTTAATTTAGACCTATCCGCGATTCAAAGTGGATCTGGAACCGAACCGTGATATGTTCGGGTATGATACATGACACATATGGACCATGATATATGGTCAAATTATATGCACCAAGTTAAAATTAGTATCTTGATCAAACTACACACCCATTAATTGTCACATTAGTGCAATTAGATTGTATTTGGAATAGATAAATAAGATTTATTTCAATAATTGATTATCTGTGTAATTGTTGTTACTATCAATATGCAGACTGTGTCAACTTATGCTTATGTAGAGATTGTTTAAAAACAGATTTTATAGAGCAACAAAAAATAAACAAAAATATTTTAAATTTCTCCATTGAAATGTTATAGAGCAATGAGTGCGTTCAGATAGTTTAAAATAAGATTCACACAAGATACAAATAAATGCTATTCAGTAAGAAAATATTACAACTTACACGAACTGAAAAATGAATTTTACCTTTAGACAGTCTTGATGTTTTACCTTTGAACTGTTTTGCAAATATTACCTTGAACTCTCTTGCAAGTGTTTGGATCACAATGAGGTTCAGTTTACCATTTTCATGCCCAATAATTTGACTGTATAGTTCACAAAACCATTTCAGCATGAAAAAACCATTTCAAGTTGTTGATCTAAAATACAACCCTTCTGCAACAAAATTGTTCACTAGCACATGCCATGTCACATCATTAGGAACGAAACCATTTGAGACGCCACTTCTTAATAGCACATAAGCATCACCGAGCATCCCTACTTTACAATATGTAAAAATCAAGGTATTGTAAGTTATAACATCAGGACAAACTCCTTCAAGTTGCAATTTTTCAAACAGGTTTTGCGCTTCTCCTACTTTCCCCATCTTACACAGACCATTTATCAAACTATTATACGTAATGATATCAGGTGTCAATCCTCTCAGAATCATCTCTTTCATAAACTCAAGTGCATTTTGTACCTTACCCATGGTACAATAGGCATTAATCAGAACATTCCAACATGTGTTATTAGGTTGAAAGCCCTTACTCAACATTTCTTCAATTAGTACCGATGCTTTCTCAACTTCTCTGTCTCTGCAAAGTGCTTTGATCAGTACGCTATATGTAATCTCATCAAGGGGACATCCTCTGAAAACCATGTCATTCACTAGCATATGTGCTTTTTGGGTTGCACCTTTCTTCAATAAATAATGGATTAATGTATTGTAGGTCACTGTATTAGCAATGATTCCCTCTTGGAAGACTTCCAGGTACATGCCTAGTGCCTCATCAACCCTATCAATCCTGCATAGTCCAAGAATCAATGCATTAAAAGTGAAAATGTCAGGTTTGTATCCTTTATGCCGCATATCACTTAAAATTTCAAATGCTTCTTGAATGTTCCCGTTTTTGCATAAAGCGGATATAAGACAGTTATAGCCAACAGTGTTAAGGCGGAGACCATTCGCAGACATCTCACTGATGACCTGGTAAGCTTCCTTTAGATGACCAAGCTTACAGAAACCGTCAACTAACATAGTATATGTCACTACATTGGGCTTTGAAGCACTAACTGACATTTCATTTAACGTCTCAAGAGCAGAAGACAAATCCCCTTTCTTCCAAAAACCCTGAATCAGAATATTATATGTATAAACATCTGGTTGATAGCCAATACTCAACACACTCTCATCGAGAAAAGCTTTTGCTTCATCCATTTGGCCCTTACTCACATAACCATTAAACAAAGTATTAAACAAGACATTGTTTGGATTGGGCACTTTATTCAACAGAACTCTTGCTTCATCCACCTTCCCACACCGACATAAAGCATTCAGTAAGACTCCATAAGTTATAGCATCTGGGACAAAACCACGAGCAAACATCCTATCAACTAACTTAGCAGACTCATGGATCCGACCAGTATAACAAAGCCCGTGTATGATGTCATTGAAAGTATTAACATCTGGGATGCAACCCATAAGGAACATCTCCTCTAATAGTTGAAGTGCTTCATTCACTCTATTAGAGTGAGAGAGTGAATGTATAAGCATTTGGTAAATTACTGAATTAGGAACACAACCACGTTTCATCATATCCCTAAGAAGTGAACATCCAGTGTCCACATCATTGACCATGCAACACGATTGTATGACTCTAGCGAATGTACACACAGTAGGGGATATACCTTTGTTCAACATCTCGTAAAAAACATTTTGGGCAACCTTTGGGCAATTGGCCACCACAAGAATGTCTATCACGACATTGTATGACTTAAATGTTGGTTGACAAGAGAATGTACTCTTCATATCAAAAAGTAGTCTGGTTGACTGCCCCGGGATACCAGCTCTTCCAAAATGCTTCATAATCATTATAAAAAGGGACTCCCTAAAAATCATACCTTCTTGCTTCATCTGCAAAAGCAGCCTATCTATGACCCGAAACTCCTTCGCAACCCCAAGCTTATCAATCAAAGTATAGTACCCATCATATGTATGGTTATACCCTATCTGCCTGCCTGCCCTTTCAAATAGCTCCATCAACGTGGGTACATCCAGAGGTAGTGCCAGTAGTTTGTTTAGCTGATAAGGGCTAATCTTTTTAAGAGATTCCCGGAGTTGTTTCAGGTCATAAGGCTCAAGTAATCGCTCCCATTCATTTGCTGATTCTGAGCCAATACCACCCTTGTGTTTCTCCTCAAGTGCACAAGAACAAAATGATAATTTAGAGCTCTTGAAGAAAATCCGTAACTTTTCATGAATGTGAATCAAAAGATTTGGTCTTTTTGTCATCACTCTGAACGGTATACCAAGGATATACCTATGCAACTCAACAGGCATCCAAAAACGCTTTGAGGAGTAGAACCACCACGACACTTTCTCAAAGTGAGCTGTTGAACAATGTTGGACTTAGAAATGTCCGGAAAATATGTATATTTCTGACATTTGTAAAATATTATGGGCCTTGTTCTTAAACTAGATTCTCCCGATGCACTTTATATTTTATCATTTGTTAACATTACTAGTGAAATATTTTTTATATAAATCAAATGTATAGATGTATTAAAGAATAATAAATGTAATATGTGATGAAAAATTATATAAGAAGTTATAATTAGGAAGAGTGGTGAATGCTGGTGCGGACAATGTTTCGAAAGAAGCAAAATATATATTCCTCTGTCCCATAAAACTTTAGCACGATTTTTCTTGGTCAATGATGGTCAAATTTGACCAATGATATTTTTTAATATGAAATTATTTCACAAATGAAAAGTATATGGAAATATTCTTTGTTAAAAGTACTTCCATAAAAGTTTAAAAGTTATAAGTTTCATAAAAATATAATAATTTGAGTCATTGTCTGTCCAAACTTTATTACCACTAAACAAGAAAGTCAAATTGGCTAAGTTTAGTAGGATGGAGAGAAAATTACAATGTGCTTCCATCGGTCTAGACTTTTCATAACACTTCTATAGGGAAAAAAATATTTTAAATTTAGAAAGTTTAACCACGATCGTACATTTCAATCAAAGTCAAAAATCAAAAATCCAACTAAATAAAGTTTTTGTAAGTTTTAATACATTCACAATAGTAATTATAATATTATTATCAATTTATAATTTTGCACATGTAAACGAGAAAGGATGTTTACTTTTGGACTGAAATTTGCTGGTTTGGTCTGATCTGGTCTGGTCTGAACTGGCTTGGTAAACGTCTGGTCTCTGTATAATTTATAACTACGAAAGTCTGGTCTGGTCTGGGATTAAAAATAGTCCAAAAGAAAACATCCTAATTGAGTTCTTTAAGTAATGAATAAATTATAGATTAATAGATCAACATTATACACTTAAATACGTAGATGTTAAGTTATTATTCAATTTATTGTAATGCAATAAAAGAGGAATGATCCTGTCCAGCCGGAGGTACAGGATACTCTGTCAGGCCCCCACCTTTTGGGGTGGTTCCAGGTGAAATTTTTTAATTAAATTTCACTTATAAAACGCAATTATTTTCAAACATTTATTTGACTGCCTTCCCGGTTAAATTTTTAGCTTTTTTTGTGAATAAACTGGAGTCGATGAGAAACTTGCTCAAAAATGTCACCAGGAACCACCCCAAACGTGCTGGATGGACCATCATGTCCCTAGCTGTCTTTTTCCTACAATAATATACCTGGGTCTCAGCTGACTAACTATTGAAAAAAATAAATAAGTAGCTAATAAACTAAATGATGTAAATAAGTAATCCACTAAATCAGGTTGATAGAAGTCTTTAGACCTGAAATCTGAAGGTCCAAGTGCCGAATTTCCCCTAGTGGCTTTGTGTAATTGTGTCTGCGGCCGATTGCCTAAGGGCGAAAGGGCGAAGTGGCTGAAGTCTGTCAATCTGAAGAGTGAAGACCTAAAATTGAAGTGTACTCATGGCTCTCTGCCTCGGCAGACGGCACCCGCCAGCCTAGCTCGAAGCACTTCCGAATATCCTTAGCCGATTGCTATCTCGACCCCTGGTGTCACGGCCTCTCAAAGGGCATCCAACACCCAGATGTTGGCAGCGATCTATCCACGAAAATGCAGAACCCCAGCCAGGCTCTAATGACGCCCTCCACCGGAAGCCCTCTGTCAATCGCTTGACGGCCAAAAGATCAATCGACAAGGCGCGCTACATTAGTGAAGCCACAGAGAGCAAAATAATTTCTTTGACCAAAAATAAGCCAAAGAGATACAAGGTGTATTGTACTACGTATTAGCCTGCAAAATTTTAAAACCCCTATTTTAAAAGTCTATTTGTATTTAATGTAATTTTTAAATTTTTAAAAATTTATAAAAGTCTAGGAATATTTATATTTTGAAAAAAATTCACTTTTGGTCCCATGACTATTATAACACTTCCACATTTAGTCCTTTACTTTCAGATTGTCCACATTTAGTTCATAACCATTATCCCCTCACCACCCCTCGTCCTTCTGCCCAAAATTCCGGCAAATTTAATCCACTTATCAGCCTCAAAATCAGTCTTTGCATTAAATTTTATATAAAGTTGGGTTTTTTTCATATCAGTCTTTGCATACCCAAAATCCCCTCACTCTGGTCTGAACAGAGTGAGGGGATAATGGTTACGGACTAAATGTGGACAATCTGAAAGTAAGGGACTAAATGTGGAAGTGGTATAATAGTCACAGGACCAAAAGCGGAATTTTTTCATTATATTTTCGTTCATTTTTTTTTACTTCAAAAATCATGGATTCTCGTGGACTTTTAACTCATTTTTAGTACATTATTTATCTGCATTGTCTCTTCTCCTCACCAAAGATTTTTGTGAACTTTTCTGTTGACTTCTACTCGTCACAAGACTTTCAACTACACATAGATCTGGTTGCAAATTTGACTAATTCCTTGCTCGATATTAAACTGCCCAATAAGTCATAGACTAGTACCGACCGGTCGAGAGGTGGGTACCAGGATGGTCTCAATATGCAAGATTTGAATAAAACAATTCTACATTATACTGATACACAAGATAAACTTAAAAAAACTGATATTTTATATGTCATCTTACGAAGCAAAATGTGGGGGTGAGATCGGTTCAATTATTGAAAGAAAGTTAGGAACCATTTAAAGAACCGTTAATCACATATCGGTTCGATTCTAGAAGTTTTTAGAAGAATCGATATAAAAATCGATAGTATTACATCGACACAATTGTGCTACGTCATCAGTTAACCATTAAAAAAACATTTTAACTATTGCTGTGTTTCATCGTTTAACAAGCTAAGAATGAAAAGAAAACAATTATTAAGAAGAAAAACTTGATTGCTCCTATTCTTGTACCACAACTAGGAATGAGTGTAACGCTTGTGTACCGATTAATGTTCTTACTCATTGAGTTGTGTAATATAACAATGGATTATAAATAGACCGAGATTGTTGAGGATTCTCGAAACTTTGAGTTTTTTTAATAAAAAATTGGATTCTTATGCTTCATTTATTATTGTAGACCTCTGCGTTCCTAGATGAATTACATTTGTTTCATTTATTTATTTAATTGTTTCTTATTGTATTATACAGAGGAAAATACTCATGATAGGACTAAAATATGGTGTTTTTCCCAAGGTATGATCATATGTTTGATTTCCCTTAAATAGGACTAAATATTATATTTCTACTTCTAATTTAATTAATTAATATAATTAATTTCACCTAGTCCCCTTATATGACCAAAGTCATTATGTTGGGGGCGGATCAGTCTGATGACGATGACGGCGAGCACTGGTGACCAAGGCGGACATGTAGATCGGTAGCGACTAGCGACGATCTAGGTAAAAATTCTAACAATCAGTAGTGGTGTTCCGAATTTAAAAGTATGGATTTTTTGAAATTTATAAACATATCCATTAATTTAAAAGTCAATAGAATTCATTCATAAAAAAGTCTATGAGTTTAATAATCCATTGACTTTTTTAAAAGTGCATAGACTAAAAAAAGTTCACCACAATCATAGCGGGATGGAAGAGTAATTGCTTAGAAGTAAAACATAGCTAGTACCCTTTTCTCGAGTAAAATTAATTTTTTACTTCTTATAAAAAAGCACTTCATAAATAGTATTTGTGTTAGTTTTTTCAAAAGATATGGTCAAATAGTTATTTTAGTTGAAATGGATTTAGAGTGAGAATAGGATGCAAAGAATAACCGTCTGTTTGATTTAGGGTGATAGAAAAATTTAAAAGCCGGCATATGAGATGAGAATCGAAAAACATTACACTTAGGGGGTTCAGTACTGTTTTGATTTAAACATTGAGTCATATTAATTAGTTACTATTGCTCTTAAGTGCAGGAATATCAGTTTTTATTACGGTTAAGGAATGTTAAAAACCATTCCTAATTGTTCTTCTCATTTTGTTCACCGGTTAGTTTCCCAATTGTTGTTCAGTAACATTATACGAATGTTAAAGCAACTTTGTTCTTCTCATTTTGAAATTGAAAAAGTTTAGACAAAAACCAAGCAACTAGTTCATGCCTCTAAAAATGGAGTACACGGAAAGTATATTAGCAGAAAAAGTTTTGAGAAGCCTCTCAAATCCCTAGTCATGTATGGTTTCAAGATGTATTCTATATGTTGTAGGTTGACGGGAATTACGCATATACTGCCTGGTACGAATCATATAAGCAGCAAATCAGAACAAACTAACAAAGTTATCAGTGTACTAGAGTTTTTAGGTATGCCTAATGACTTGAAGATGGACTGAAACAACGCTGTGTTTTTTCCCTTCAATAGCTCTCATGCTCCCAATTGGGAGAAATGCAACTTATCACAGAGTGGGAAGCCTTTGCTCACTTCTCTCGATTTCATTAGTATATAATCAGTAAAAGAATATTATAATCAAACTTTTAACAGATCCTTGACTTTGGTGTCACTGATCCCACTTCAAATAATCAATCTCTTTTTACAAGTATTTATTTCTCAAGTTCACTTCCATACCTTTTCTCAAGGGTCAAAAGGGAAGGTTGTAGGAATTAAAGAAGTTGCTCTATTTTTATGTTTAAAGTCCCTAGTGTCCATTCAATTTGATTTATTTAAGTTACCTTCACCTACATAATGTGAGTCTTGTACTCATCTCTCATGTGGAATAACATGATACATTGGACACATTTTCTTTATATCACTTAAAATAGTACAATACATAGCATCATAAAAAACAAAAAGTAGTTGTTTCTCATAAGCAGATATACAATATCAGCAACATCTATATAGATCATCACTACCAAATAACATAAAGCCTCTCATGTAATTTTTCCAAGTGCTTATCACATCACTCATGCTTTAAAAAATCATAAGTAGTTGTGTATTTCCTCTACGTTTTCATAATTTTCTAAGCATTATGTCTATGCTTGTGTATTTAAATAGGTGTAGGATTCTGAATCATTGGAACAGAAAAGCATACAAATGTAAAACTGAACTTCTTACTGAAGACCTGAAATTACTGCCATCCATTATGTTAAGAAGAAAAAATTCTTAAATCGATCCATTAGGTTAAGAAGAAAAAATTCTTAAATCTCCAATTAACATCATACAATTACACAGTTAAAGTAGGCAATCATATAACCGCACTAACATGTTCAAAGCTGGTTAAAGCTCACCCTATCATACAAAAAAAGATAAATTATTTAAAAACAAAAAGGGAGACAACACTTCTTAATCCATACAAATAATTGCCTGCAATAAGTAAAACGAAGGTATAGAATACGAATTATTTACATATTACAACATTTTGGAACTAATAGGAAATATGCAGAACAACACTTCTGCATTTCTATTTGTAACTGCCTGCAATATTCCTATTACTCACGAATAAATAGGATTAAGAATTGTTGAGAGACCCATACAAATCAAAGCATGACCCAAACGGACTGGTCTGGAGGAGAGAATTACGCATACCTTTGCTGAAGAGAGAAAGGAGAGCTGTCTTGCTGGGAGAGGAAGCCCTGAACTTCACTTCAAACGGCTGAAATGAATAAAAAATAGGAAGATGAGTCGGTGAGATGAGTCGGTGAGAGGGCAATCGCGTGAATTCAAAATTATTTCAATCCGCCGAAACCTAAAGGCTCCGATCCCCAGCGTTTTGGTTTTCGGCGGTTTCATCCAACACGCCAAGGGCAACCTCCGTTTACCAAACGCAAACGATCAGCGGCTTTGACGGTCAAAACCGCCGAAACGGTCAAACCGGCCATTTTTTGGCTGATCCACTATCAAACAAACGCAGTCATAAAAAAAGATGACACCCGAGGGCCCCAACACCGACCGAACAAGGAGGATTAAATTGGACTTTAATAAAGTTGATAGATAGAGAGTGGAGGTTTGGCCCTAGTACTTGCAGAGACCGTATGCATTTTTAGCATAGTAACCTTCATCGCAGTTGCCGGATTTAAACTCAAAACTTACTCCTTGTGACATCCCCTATCTACCAGTTGAGCTATTGGGGATGCGAGAAGGGTAAAGTTGGCAATCATAGGGAAGGGGATGGTATAACTATCCTCAAACTTGTATTTAATTACCATTAAACCATAAAAGCAGGTAGAAGCATGGTAGAAGGAGCTTCTGACTTTTACCCTATAATCACTTTTATTGAAGCTGGATCTTCCTTTTGCAAACGAGTTCAATTTTGTTCAAAAAGGGTGATGTTCACCGCCCACCCTAATTGCTTGTCATGTAGTAAGGCAATTCTTAACTATTTGGCAATTTTTTAACTTTTTAATTTTTAATCCAATTTTAAAAAAATATTTTAAAATTTTATTTTTTTAAGACCTTTCGTATGGTACCAATATTGCATATAAATAATTAAAAAAAATCCAATTAGATATAAATATTTTTAAAAATGTGATTTTTTTGTCCAACTTTTTTATATACAATATTGATACCATTGAAAAGATCTTAAAAAGTTACTAACTTTGACACATTTTTTATAAAATTTGAACAATAAATAAAAAATTAAATTAATTTAAAGAAAAGAAGAGAATGGGAAGTCACATGGCAACAAATGAGGGAATGATGTTCACCCTCCTTAGAGGAGTGAACAAAATTGCACTCGTATATGGCCGGCACAATCGTAGTGACATTTGAATAAAATTCCAGTAATAAGAAGAAAAGTTGAAAGTGTACAATTATCATAACTATTTAATTTGTTGGAATTTCAAAGTAGACATATTTCTCCTTGACTTATCCTTATGTATTATTCATGTCAAAGTCAAACCTCTAATTTATAGCAATAAAAAAATATAATGCAAACATATTTCTTATCCAATAAGTTATAGGAGGGATCGCATATATAAATAGATTCAGCTATTGACTATTGTTGTAAGGTAAAGTTCTCGAAATAGGACTAAAACAGTTTCAAAATTTCAAATTAGGAATGTCATTTTTCTATTCCCAAAATAGGAGTAATTACTGTCAAGTTTAGAAAATACTGCCATGTTTGAAGTCTTGTACTGCCAAAACATGGCAGTAATTAATCCTATTTTGGGAATAAAAATATGACAGTCATATCTGGAAATTTTCAAACCTTTTTTAATCATATTTCGGGTATACTATTCTCTTGTTTTAAAGATTTCAGTTCATGAATAACAATGTTTTCGCTTGGACCAGTTGCAGTCTTATATCAATTCATAATAGATCAGGTCAGGCTTGTTACATTATAAAAGACAAGTATTTAAACAAATCACATGAAATTAGATTAGTTCAATTCAAATATGAAAATTTAAATTGTTAAGTGAAAATGTAATAAGTGAAAGTGAAGTGACCGAATTGGGACTTCGAACCATGAAAAACTCAAGTCACCATGGTGGGTAGCGGATCGATTGACCCGTTTGAAGCTCTAAAAGAATTAGGTAAAAGTACGTGTTGCGCTAATAAGAATATTGGGACATGTTTACTTATTTTTCGAGTTTTGTGTTTCCATTTTTCAGTTATCATTTATGTAAATCATAATATTTGTATCTAATGCAAAATAAAGTAATCGTAATTAAAAACATTTGAAATAATACAAAATATTTACATAAATGATAATCCACAAAAGGAAGCGGTTCATCTCACTGGATTCGGAACTACATGAAATCCATGATAATCCATTTATTTTATATTTTTATTTTTAACTTTTACTATATTATGGTACACGGTTATACTTATTTAGTGTGTAAATGTTGGTACTCCGTACTTACTAGATAATTTGCTAGTGTAGCGGTACTTTTTTAAAAAATTGAGAACCTGGATCGAATCTGGTCATTCCAAACGGGCGGGTAAGGCCACGTTTCTATTTCGAGACTTGGTATACTCAAAATAAATCTACTCGTTTAATAGAATGAATGATTCTTGAAAATTTATCAATTACTAGAACCGATCCGAACCATACCGTGTCCACTTCTATTAATCGGCGAGAAAATCATGTAGTACGTAGCATGTAACATGGTTCAAAACTTCAAACAGTCACTACCGAGCACATCATGAAGGACTCTCTATGTTCCAACGAGTAGCGTCCTTCTTCGTTAAGTTTATACCCTGATTGCCCCGACCTCGGGACAATAGAAATGATAATTCACGAACAAAATTTAATAAGTGACATTTTTTAATAAGAGGCTATTTTGTAATGAAAACAAATGCATAATATATTAATATTAGTGGTACTTTCACGTCTCAAACATTATAATAATGTCAAATTGCATTCACTTGTACTTGTAACACTATCAAATATCATATCATCTTTCTCATGATTAATCTGAAACTAACACCGGTTCTACCATTCGAGCGAGCACAATTATGTAATGCATGCGCAACAAGCATCGACAGACGACAATGTCAACATGTCCTCCCAAAAAGGTAACCATTTAAGTTTAAATGTCCAATTATGTAATATATTTTTAAAGTGACATATTTTTTCATGATCTATGAATCAGAATTCATACAAGAAACTTATTTAGTTTGGGTGAGAACAGGGCCGGTCCTGGCGGTTCCAAGGCCTATGGGCGAGTGCTCTATAATAGACCTAATTTTTTAAAGGAAAAATTGAAAATAATAATCCTAACTATTGCCGGTCCGCTAACAATAATCCCAACTATCGATTATTTTTGTATAATCCCAACTATATGGATCGTCCGCCAATCATATTACCTGCTCTAACAAGTGAATATTTAATAGAAATTAAGCGTAAAATTAAAAATTGGGATTATTTATAGGGATTACCTGTTATATCTCTTTAGAATCTATAGTAATTTATTTATAGTCGCTCACGTCGGACCATTATTGACGGAAGGTCCCTAATGTTGGGATTATTCTGAAATAATCGATAGTTGGGATTATTATGAGCGGACCGCCAATAGTTGGGATTATTACAATCAATTTTTCCTTTTTTATAAAATATTGTACTATATCCCATCCAGATTCATCCAATTTTATTACATTTTAAAATTAATAAATTTTAAATTTTTATGGAAGAAATTTTAATACTATCACAAAATCACAATTAAATTTCATAACCATTTTTTACTAGAAAAGCTAAAACTCATTCGCAATTTCACTATTTTTGACAAAATAATACTCCGCAGTTAATACTCCAACAAATTTAAAATATACAAATTCAGGATCAAACAACAATATAAACAAATTCACAATTTTAGTACTACACGATTCAACAAGATAACAATCAATAAGTAAATCAAAAATAAAAAATCTAAATTCGGTGATAAAAAATAAAAAGTTATCATAACTATTAACTAATAATGTACGTAGTAGCATGTAAAAAACATAGATTGAGGATTTAAGGATTGTGCACCAAAGGTAGAAAAACAGAATTGTAGATTTATACAAGCAAAAGTGATGTGAATTCCCGTGTTTTTACGATTGTTTACTATTCTTCTTATTGGTTGAATGAAAATACAGGATAGGACCAAAAACTCAACCTACTCAGCCTTAGTATCATACATAAATATTGGGCCTAATTTTCTTTTCACTTTTATTGGGCCTAGGGCCATCGCCCCTGCTGCCCTCCCCCCACGACCGCCCCTGGGTGAGAAATATGATATCTAAAAGTAATACTCCCTCCATCCCATTATTATTGTCTGAGTTCCTATTCACTTGGTCAACATAAATCACTCTTAATCTCTTTGATGGAGTATATGGCCCGGGAACACCCGGCCCACAGACTCCTACTACTCCTTTAGAGGCCCAACAGGCCCAGAAGGTCCAACAGGCCCAAATCACAGCGCCCAGAGTACCAAGCAGCCCACACTACGCGCCAGGGGTGCCTTCGGCCCCCTGGCCGAAGGCTCTAAACTCTCGCAGAACGGGTTTCTCAAGCAAATTAAGAAACTGGGAGAAAACGGCGAAAACAGTAGCCCTCGGCACTGTGAGCCCTCGGCACCAGGGTGCCATCGGTTGGAGGAGCCCTCGGCTACTGCTCTATGGCCGAAGGCATCTCACTCGACAAGATATCCGCCTCACATGCGTACAGATCACCGTACCCTGCACAGACGTCCCATCCAACAGCCGCATTAAATGCGGCCACATGCGGCTGCCAGCGCCAACCAGTTGAGGTGACCCCTCGGCCAATGAGCGCTTGACACGTGTCCCTGCCCGGCATTTATTGCTACTATAAATAGCACCCCATTTCCCCATTTGTAACCACGCTGAAAACGGCATTCATACTGAATACACTCTCTCTCTACTTTTACTTACTTGCTCTGACTTCTCTCTAAGTTATTCCCCGTAATAACCCTTCGGATATATACCCCCGGGTAGACTATCCATCATTTGGTGCTCTCGTTGAGAGGTCGAACAATCGAGTAAGAAACCCTCCCCCTCGACCAAACACAAAACACTAGCCCTCTATCAAAATGGTGAGAACAACACGTGCCAACTCAAAGAACGTAGAAGACAAGAACCTGGCCTTCGGTGACGTCAACGCCCCCGAAGCCTCTCACAGGGCTCCCGAGGGCGGTGTCATCGTCGGGCTGGAACAGGCGGCTGTCGACCTACGCCTTCAGATCCAACAAAATGCCCCCGATGCCCGCCTCGGCATCGAGGCCAAGAAGAAAAACCGGAGCGATGACCAAGTCAGCCCTCCGGTTCTCACCATCGACGTGCAATCGGCGCTCTCCGCCTTCATCCAAACGCTCACCCAGAACCCGGGTGCCTTCGGCACCCTGGCTCCAGCTCACCCTCAGGTTGGGGAAAACATCATATTTCCCCCTCTGCCACACCCCTTCGGAAATCCCACCCCTCGGGTGAGGAACGACGAGGGGGTGGTGGCCCAAGATACGTCCTCCCAGGAAGTTCAGTCCCGGGACCGCCATAATGACAACAGGGAAAGGCCCCGTACTTCCGCCCTCAACCGGCTCGGAGGAGGGCCAGACCGCCGAGGGGTCCAAGACCGCCTCGGGGGGAAAGCACTCCAAAGGCCCCAGGAAAGCGGGGGATCTGTTTCGAGGGCAGACGAGGAGCGTCCCCCTCGGGACAAAGGCAAGGCACCCCTTCATGCCGATGACGCTCGGCACCAAATCAACCAGGCCCACTCGGCCCGGGTTCGTTCGTAGGGGGCGGAGACCCTCCCGAAGGATCCCCGGGACGAGATTATTGCGGCCCTCCAACGCCGG